CCCTGCTCTGGCTAATTGAGCAGTCCTGCATTTCCTTTGAGTCTAACAGCCCAGGCAGGACTGAATCGCCTTGATGAGCACTTATACAGTGACCTGGAAACAACACCAAAACCCAGGCTGCAAACCCTCTAAAACCAGACAATGGCAATGCCGCAAATGTGGCGGCGCCCCCGTCTTTTCCACTCCTGCTGAGGTAACTTGAGAGATTTAACAATACATGAATCTTAATCCTTGAAAACCATAGCTCATCCACATCCGAGAGGAATTACAATGTGAGCTACAACAATCAAAGAAAGTCGGAAAAAATAGATTAAGCTCCCTTTGTCACCAGCCCCCTCAGAGCCAGTTCCCCTGACACTAATGGTTCCACAGAGCCGAAGCTAGCAGGTCCCCTATTTCAACAAAATCCCCCCTAACTTCACAGACATGCCTGTAAAGATAAAGAGGAATTCATTATATGTAGCTCTTCTCCTCAGTTAACAGTTGCAGCGCCATCGTCTTTTTATTCAACTGGCAGATTACGTGTTAAAGATACCCTTTCGTTTATAGATTTTAAGAGATTTAAAATAATTTGGTCCTCAGATACTTTCCAAATCTAATCCACAGGGTGAGGGATGTTTAAGGTCAGCTCGTGGAAAAGAGACACGCTCTTCTTTAGATTCCAGGCAGGGATTCAATAAGGAGTTATTCACTCAGATATAAGTCAAAAATCTCTCCACAAGCACTTCACTGAACGTCACCCTTGTAAGCCGGTGGAGAAATAATGGATAGAAAGAAAGTCCAACCCACCAGGGACGCGACATCAGTGGGGTCACTAAGTGGGGTTGACCTTTAAAAATTTGTAGGTGACTCTGTCTCTGTCTAACACAGCGTGTCTTCCAGGGAAGGACTTGATTGTCATGAGGAACAATTAGGCCAATCAGAAGTGCTGATTTAGAAACATTATACCTAGAAGCTTAGACTTCCTCTTCAGCATCTGAGACATAAAATTAGTGGTGCACCGATTGCAGTTTTCTGGCCGATTACGAAGCCTATCCTACCGATTCCGATTTTGGGCTATACCAATGGTTTTTGGCTGAAATGTTTCTCAATATAGCAAGAAAGGTGCTGAACTGGCAACAGTGGGGTGACAATTGTTAACAGTAAACGTGCAGACATGACCTGGTGGGCCGGTCGATAGGTCAACCCTCAGAGGACAGAGGCTGATTTTTAAACCTTCACAGATAAAATCGATGGCTTCACAAGTAAAAATCGTCCTACTTCCTGTTCATGCACAACAGGAAGTAGTTGTGCATGAAAAGCAAAAAGAATATTTTTTAAAAGTTATTATTTTGAGACACCAACACCAAATCAGTTGCTTTTTTTTTTCTAAATCACAAAATCCAACCAGTGTCACAGAAGCGCAAAGAGGCTTTTAAAGTCACAAATTCAACAATTTAGTTCACTCTACTTTATCTATTTATCTATATTATTCAGCTTTCTATTTTTCTTTTCAAATAGTAGCACGATCACAAATAGGTGAAAGTTTTGGAGCGATACAGCTTACAGTATGTATATGCTAGCTGGTTAATTCCTGGTGTATAGCTGCTGTTTTTAAGTTCATGCTGTTTTATTTAAATCGCTGAACTCTTCTCGGCTTCTGGTTTTGTTGTCCTCACCCTAATATTATTAGTGGCCCCATCTGGACACCTCGTGAAACATTTCCTGGAGTCGCACTTGCTTCTTGATCAGAGAGGAGGGAAAAATCCATTGTGATCAGATTCCCACATGAAAGTTAACAGAATGAAGGGAAGGCCGGGTCTTTGTCTAAAGGTAGCGGCTTGTCTCCTGGGCAAACAAAGCCTTTGCATGGCACTGGGAATGGTAAACATTTGCATGGTGAAAAGCCCCAGAGTTTAACCCTTCCTCCTTTTCCTCTTACAACTTCCTTTTGTTCTTTGCACTTATCAACACAAGACAAAAGAACAATAAAAATCAAATACAGACACACAAAAAGTAGGTGCTGCTATCCTTAGCTAGTGTGCTGATGTGGTCCTTTGGCAATCACAGTCTCTCAACTTGTTTTCTGCTTTAGCTGGCAGGCGAGGCACAGCACACTACACAGCAGATTTACTCCCAGAAGACATCTAAACAGCGGGGCGTTTAGCTGAGATGCCGCTTTGTTTTCTAAAAATCTCCCCCTATGCACACAACAGAAAAGTGTCCGTTTTTTTGTCAATTAAAACAGACGATCTCAAAGTAAAACCCGCATCAGCACATAATGTGTAACCACTGTACCTCTCATCTTCCATAAACCTCAAAGGCTGTTTTCTCCGCCTTCGTGCTCAAGTCGGCTCGTACGGAGGGGTAAAACAAGCAGCAGGGAAACGACAGAGCCGCGGCGTTCTCCTGAGGAGCTCTGGAGAAATTCTGATCGTGTAAAACTCGCACAAACCGGGAGAGACGGATTCAACTGTGCATCATGTGCCCATCACTGTCAGCCTTCTCTGCCCTTTAACTGTGTAATTAGACCATTGAGATGGAAACAGGGACAATTTCATCCACCATGTCATTACATTTCTGCATGTCATCTTTGGGCAAATCATTTAACAACTATGAACAGCCCCTCTGGTGTGACCACAGTAGCAGACTGACATCCAAAACAATGGGTAAAAAAAGATCTGAGGCAGTCATTAGGGTCAGACAGTCTTTACAGAGTAGTTCCTCTGTATCTCTTATATAGCAAGTTTAGACATTTCTTGGCTTAAATCTCCATAATTCCCAGTCAGTCCATTAAGAAGCAGCAAAAACAAGAGACTGAAGGAATGGGCAGAGTGGTAGGTGGATTCATCAGTGGGCAAATACTGAATAATACTGCACAGATAATATAATCATGTTTTTCTTTTGTAAAGTTTGATGTATCACCAAAAAATCTCCCTAACCAGCTTTGAATTGTATAGAAAGACAAACAGGTAGACAGACGTATGAATAGATGGACAGACAGTTGAAAGGACGACTGGACGGATGAAATAATTGTCAAACTTATTAAAAGAGATGCTCTTGGATGAATGGATAGATGGATGCAACTTCTGAACAATGGGTCCAGAAATTAAAGAATCAATTTCTCCAGCCGTATCTATGCCAGAAAAAATAAATCTAATTCCATATTTTTCCATAATTTTCCGCAGCGTGGAGGAACCTCGTTTTTACTAAGAAGAAATGCTGGGGGAAAAAGTGACTCTGCAGCGAGTGGAGATGAAAGAGGAAGAAAAGAAAAAGCCAATAAGAAGCAAACACATTGTAATTCCACACAGATACTCTGTTATCATCTATTTTACTCTGGTCAAAAGAATGGACAGCACTGTGAAATAGCCTCTTGTTCTGTTTACCGGCAGTGTTGCGCTGCATTAGACATTCAGGAGACACACTTCCATTTTGCTGAAACAGATACAATCATTGGTGGTGTTAATGAAAAATGCACCGCCTCAGAGAGCTCTCCCCCTTGTAATATTCTTCATGTACATCATTTCTAATTGTCTCCAATAATGAGATCCCACTACCAGAAGACCTGTCAGTGTGCATTCTTTGGAGGCATGAGGATTTTTGTTTCGCAGGTGGTGAAGTAATTACAGCTGGCAACCACTAGGCAGTCAATTCACTTTTCCACGCATATTAAAGCGCCGACGCTGCCGGGCGAGCACCCGGGACAATTCGGTTCTAATGGTCACCATTCATTCTGACCCCGTACACCTGCATCTGCATTTCTCAGCCAAAAATAAACATCAACAATAAAAACGACGAGAGCTGCCGGCCAGAGAGACAGATGCATTTGTATCGCTCAATTCTCGGTGAACATAAAATAAAGGTTGCATGTTGTTATTGTTCCCCAGTCAAACAGCATAAATAGTAAAACTGCTCCAAGTGAAGCATCTGGTTGGGTAAATACGCCAAGATGAGCCTGCAGACATCTTTTACTGCATTTCAAGCCACACCCACAAACTTAACAGGCTCCTGGTAAAAATAGATGGCTAAATAATTCAAATAAATCACATCGTGTTCATTCTTGAACATGATGCATATTTTTAAGCAGGATTCCTTCCTATCTTTGGCTCATTAAAACCTCCTGCCTTATGTGACCTAAAGAAGCAAAAGAATGAATTAGTGAGTGACTAGACAGTGTTTTCTGGGGCATTATCGCTGTGAAATGAACCAAAATTATTTTCATGCTAGACAGGAAGAGAAACCTTCCACAAGCTGAAGAAACTGGAGCAAATGTGACATGTCCTCCACAAATGCTTTACGTTCAAACTAATTACGAGCTAAACTGCTCATTTTCAGATCATCTCAAATTGTTGGAACATTTTCACACGTGTTGGCGAGCCGCAGCACCTGTGTGTGCAGTTTCCTTTGAGCTCATAAATACCCCCAGCAACATCCTGAAACAGCTTTTTCCTGCTATTCTCCTCTCGCTGACCCCTCTCTCCCTCGGTCTGAATGGACACGACCTTGTCACCCCCTGACCCCTGATGACGGAGTAAATGTTTCTTTTTTAAAACAGCCGATCAGAAATGAAACATCAACATTAATTCCCTGCTAAATGCTCCCACTGAATAATGGATGAGGACACAAGCGAAGATATGTAGATTTCCACCTTCTGCTCTAATTGCTGCCATTCAAACACGTCTGAAGTCGCCCTCGCTTCAAGAGCCGGCTTGGCTGCTATCAGTCAATAAAGTTGCCTAAGCTGGAATCAAAGGGTGGCCTTATCTGTCAGAGATCCCTCACATTAGCTGAGAGCAGGACATCAAAGACGAAAAAAGGGGGGACGCTATTTATGCACATCTGATACCTGCAGTGGACATAATGGATCTTAAAGATGCTCTGGTTGAGTAAAAACAGACTCAGGTTCACACAAACACACAAATCCATACTGGGCCCTATCTTGAAAGTGGGAACAACAAACTCCAAACGTCTGAACGCGCGCAGCCTGCACACATAACAACAGGTAAATACTTCCTTACCTTGGTCTGGCAGCTGGCAAACATTGGGGGGGACGGTCATGTTCAGCATGTCATTGACAGCCGTGTCAACATAGTGTCCTCTCTGGACGTCATGTTCGCTGTCGGTCTGGTCGCTCTCCTCGTGGCCGCTGTCCTTCAGGCTGTTGCCCTCCAGGTCCTTGAACGTTGATGTGCTACATGGGGGCCAGGAGGGAGAAAAGGGAAATGTTGATTAACTGTCACATCACCTTTTCTAACACGGTGTTGGTTGTCGCTTGGTCCCTGATGGGTTTTGACGAGCTGCCTGTCTTTTAATCTTCTTCCCCCTCCCACAAACAGAATATAGAGAAACTGCTGGCCTACTTTGGGAAACTCCACTCTCCAAACTTTTTATAATCAGTGAACACACCATATTTAAACTCTGTTTGGTGTGGAAGTTGTTACTGCAGGAAGACGAGCCAATGTGTTTGAGTTTTGGTTGTGTCAAACCTGACTTTTTCAGGTCCTTAGGATGATTTGTCCAATCAGAACCAAATTAAATGGACCCAGAAGTGATTTTAGCAGAAAACAGGAGGTTTTAACATGTTCTGGGCTGGAAACACTCTTGGATTTTGAGGCATTTAAGAAAGAAGTCAGAGGAGGCACAGAGGATGAAGAAACCTTTTAAAAGAAAATAGTATTTTGTACATGAAGACACTTGTTTACGGGTCATTCAGGTGTAGAAAAAGCAAGAAAGAATACATCTTTAAACAGATAACATAAAATTTGAGACTTTTGAGCTTTCAACCTATTTCTATTTTAGAAATTACAAGATTTAAAATTGTGGAAAAGTCTAACTTAAGGTAATTGTTTCTCTTCATTAGGAAACACAGAGAAAATACAGAGGATATTGGACTAATCATTAATGGACAGATGGTTATTTTGGTGCATCATTTTGTGTTTTTGTTGTTTTGATCTATCGGCTGCAGGATATTTTATGTCAACCAGTTTGAGAACATTTAATTTAAGTAATTTTTTATAATTGACTCAGACCTACTGTCATTTTAAAATGATAAAGAATTAAGTTATTTGTAAGATTTAGGTAATTCATTGCTATTTATCTCTAAAATATGTTTCCACAAAGAAAATGAAACTAATATCTAAGTGTGTAAAAGCAGGAAAGAATGAAATATTAAGGTATGAAATTGAGTTATAAAGTGACAAAGGGAAAAACTGAGCTGTTGTGATCACTAACCTGGAATACTGAAGATAATTTAACATTTATTTATCTTTAAAAAAATAAATAAATAAATTTGTAAAACCTTGTTTTACAATAAATTACCAGTTTTTCCCCTGATAAAAAAATAACATGCGATTTCTTTCCTGAATGCTAGAAATAAATATTTTGAACCTTTTTAATAGTTTTAAAGAAAAATATTAATCTTTTCAAATGTATCATGAGTTTAAAGTATCATAGGAACTGGAGGGTAGCATTTGCCTTCAAATCTCTTATTGCTGTGTCCATAAAAACTGAACATTTCTACGGATTCAAACTTGAATAATCGTAATTTATTTTAGAATAAATCGCCTTTCAGCACTAGACTTTTGAAAAGAGAAGTCTATGTCTGGCTTCTGTTTGCAGTTTCCACAAGATAAGAAGAAAGTGCAAATCTTTTGAGAGCTTTTATGGATTAAGCACATATTTCTGAACCTCACAAAGCAAGTATGCGGCGTTTCAGACGGGGACATTGTGGATGGATGTGCCGTCTTCAAGGACATTTCAACGAATAAACAGGAGGCACTCACTCACTACAATCATACAAATACTGCAGTAATCAGGAAATCCTGCAATCCTGGGAGATGGATGAAGAAAGGCGCTGGAAGCATACAAACGGAGCATCTGTCTTGTTTGGGGCTCACAGTCAATAAAGATGGTGGGGTGTGGGGGCCACAATAAACAGCTGCACAGTAACAGCGTGATTTCCCCTCGTTTGATTTCCTTCCCACTGGAACAAATCCTACTTTACAAACAACACTAAACTGGAATGAACACGTTTCTTGCATGGGAGAGAAAATAAGACGCGTTGGTTTGTGGGGCGGCGGGGAATCGGCGTAAACAAAACGGTGCGGTGAAGTAAAAGGTGGAACGGGAGGAAGTGAAGGACAGTAGAAGGCAGAGCTGCATTCCTGGGCCCAAGCTGGGAGAGAGGACCGCAGCGGAGGTAATGCCGGCTCCGATGTTATCACTGTAATTGCACCTGTCCCAGACCATAGGCTCCCTGGCTCCTGAGGGGATTTCTTTGTAGTATCCTGCAGAGGCCCACACTTGAATGCTCTTTGTTTATATTAATGCAAGGAATCTTTTTTTTTTGAAAGCGGGAGGGAAGAAGTAAGAAGGGGGAATTGCCTTAATGGGTTTTCAAAAGGGCGGCACAGCCTCAAACAAATGAAAGGCTTGATTGTTTCACTGCAGGTAAAAACCAAGAGCTGCAGCGAGAACAGTTAGAAACCCTCCAGAGGTTCAAGGAATTTCACTATGACCCCCTTCAAAACCGTGACGCTGAATTCCTGCAGCCCTATCAAGTGTCCCGCATCAAGTGGGCTGAACAACAACGCACAAAGAAAACATTTATTCTTTGATTCTTCACACAAGGAGACCTCAAGTGTGTATTATTCATGAAAGTGTTGCCTCGAACACCTCCAGAGAAAACTTTTAAATAGTGTTGAGGTGCTGCTTTAGTTTTTGAGAAAAGCTGGACTTTGGAAAACTTAGAATGTGGAAGAATTTGTTACTTTGTGGATTTTATCTCATAAATCTTAGGTTTTTTAACAAAGAGTCTCCTAAACAGGTTTCCTACCCAACACAAAACACAAAAAGCTTTGTTTTCTGTATCTTATTTTTGTGCTTTCTTCCTCTCTTCTCTCCTTCCTTCGTTGAATTACCGTCCTTCATTCCTTTTCTAATTTTTTCCTTCTATCCTTCCTTGCTCTACTTCCTTTCACTGCACGTATCCTTTGTGTTTCTATTCTCTTTTTTCCCTTCCTTTCTTTCCTTACTTGTATCTTCTTCTTTCCATTCCTTTTTTTCTTACACCTACCCCATTTTTTTTCTTCCTTTCTTCACTTACTTGCATCCTCCTTATTTCCTTCATTTCTGTCTTCCAAAAATCCATATTTCTTTGTATCCTGTCTTTTCTCTTTCCTTCTGATTTTCTGAACACTTCCAGCCTTTTCACTGTGGAAATATCTATCAAATATTCATGATGAATTTACTATTACTATTTTACATTTTAAAAATCAATGTTAAGGACCGAGGTCCTCTGGAAAGTTGAGTCTGAAAAAGTAATCTGAACACAAAGAAGAAAAGCAGGAACTGTAATGGTGTCGGGGTCGGTGCCCGTCTCCCTCTGTGCGAAGCGGCCCGGTCGGTCGAGACCCAGCTCTCCCTCCGTCTGAGAGAGACCTGAGGGCAGCACTAATCATTAATAATTACGACGCTCAAAGTACTGAAATTATCAAACAGCAGAACAAGCCTTACTTTGATTTTTTTTTTTTTTTTGTCCACATGTAATTAGTGGAAGCTGCAAAGAGAACATGTCCAAAGCGTAGAAAAGGCTAACGCTGGTCTGCATCTCCTCAGTAGAGCAAGATATTTGATAGAAATATGTGCCAAATCAGACATGCTTTTAGAAATGAATCTAAAGCTGTGTGTGTTAGAGGTGAAAAACATTATAGTACATTTGTAAAACACAGAGAAACTGTCCAGAAACTCCATTGGGGGTAAAATATTGAGTTGGAGCAAAAACAACAACATTGTTGGCTACATAGTAATGATGAAATGTAGTGTGAAATATCACTTCACATCCAAACAGTACACATAGCATAAAAAACTTAATTAATCTCATTAAATGTAGGTTATTTCTCATTTGAACGGTTGAAGTTGTACACGTTAATACCATAAATAGATGATTTTTCTAAGCTTATAGAACCTGTTAACTAAGCTGAATTTTGGGGAGGAAATTTTCATTTTAATTACTTGGAAATAAATAAAATGGGTTTCCTATGCCTCTGGGATTAGGCAGCTTATTAAAGGCAGACTCTGCAGGGTTCCTGCAAATTTTTCATGCTAAAATTAAACATTACTCCAGACTCAACTTTCCAGTCCTTTGTAGTCATTTTAAATAATAAATAAAACTAAAACATTCACAGTGAGTTTATGGCAGATATGTGTGCAGTGGGCAGGGTTTGCATATGGGCAAAAAAAATCCCTTTAAGACCAAATGTACAAAAACTGGAGAATAAAAAATATAAGAAAGAAAAAATGGAGGCAGGTCACAAGGAATGGTGCAAGAGAAGAAGGGGCCAAAAGAAGAGCAAAAACAAGGAAAGGAGAAAGGACACAATGTAGGAAGGACAGATAAAATCAAGGTAGAACAAAATAAGAAAATAGAAAGAGGGACAAGAAGAAAGAAAGTAAGAATACAAGAATTGGAATAAAAACAGAAAGAAGGAAGATTCAGAAACAAGAAATACGAAAGAAAACAGGATGTTTATATTTCTGCATTTGGAAGATGCTTTTATCCAAAGCAACTTAGTATTGAGGATGTAACAATGCAGTTAAAGTAATAGCTAATAATGATCTATTTAAAAGGAAGCCCTCTCATTTGATGATGCAGAAAAAGAGAGTACACTCAAAGGGAAGTGGAGACATTTTTATTTTATTTTAATCTGTTTTTTTACTTGTTCAAACATATCCAGACCTGGAAAACATTGGACTCAAGTACCCTTGTTTCCCAGGCTGCATAGGAACCCCGATAGTTCAGGTTTCACCTCAAATGTTTTTATTTAGCAGTTTCCTGTTGCAGTTTTTGTATTTCTGTAACGTTGAGTTCAAGTGCTTTTTATTTATTGAGGCATAAGAAAGTAATTAAGTTGACCGACTTTATCTTAAATGTTACATTTAGGAATAAAGTGCCATTTCTTGTGCTTGTAAAATGAGTTAATTCCTCACATGTTGTGGATTTTTTTATTGTAAAGGTAGATTTGGACTTTCCTGCAGTAAGCCATAGGCAGATGTAAGATAATCCCACATGTCCAACTGATAGGTAAAATCAGAGAGGTGGAGTAAGATTATTCTAAAAAATTAACCCATCTATCTTATAGTGAACAATCTGAACAACCTTTTTAAACATTTGTTTCCACTAAATGCTTCACAGAGTAACATTATTTATCCCAAAATCTCATTCTCCCCTTTTCAATTACACCGAGTGAAAACAAAACAAACAAAAAAAACATGCAGGTACACATGCAAGCTCCACCAACTGGTGCTCTCATTAAGATAAAACAATTACAGATAACAATGGTAATGAGGTGCTGGTAACAATTCCTAATCAAGACATACCTTTTAATGAGGTGGGCTCTGCTGTTCACATAACTGGAATCAATGGAATAATTCTCCGTCTGCAAAGAGAGTGATGAAGAGGGAGGGAAGAAGGGAGGATGGGGGCAACAGAGAGAGGTACTTTTAATAATGGAAGCAGCCAAAATAATGTTAGTAGTAATTGGCTTTCAGTAGAAATGTTATTTTACACAAAGGCCCTGGTGTGCAGCCTGGGCTTTCAAAGGGCTGATTCCTATTCTCTTTCAAAGCACACACGTAGAGAGGCTGACTTAGAGCTGAGAGCAGCAGAGGAGAGTGCTGCAGCGAGCGCAGCCGCTCTTCTCCTCTTTGCCCTCCCCGCTCTCGATCCCATGCTCCCTCCCCGCCCTGCCGGTCAGCCCACTGTCTTTAAAATGGAGTCATTAGGGAGGACAGACTATCATGCAGATAGGAGAAGAAACAGAAATGTTCTCCTTTTCTCCTTCCCTCTCTCTGAACTCCCTGATTTCCCCATGTTGAAGAAGACATTAATGTTGAAATATTAAATAAATAAATAACTATAAGAGCAGTAGATGAAATTAAGAATGTACCGGGGGAATCTTAACTCCGCGGTTGCACGATGAAAAGGCTTCCAGAATATGCATTCAATAGATCTTTGATCCATATTAAAGAACACAGTTAAAATGGATCCTTTGGTAAATTTTTCCACATTTATTCAGTTAATCTATGACAAAAGGAATGATAGTACTTTTGTGCAGGTAGCCCCTCCACATCTGCCAAACATCTACTGACTCTAGGTGAGACGTCAGAGAGCAGTGGCAAATCAAAGACCTCTCCGAGGAATTTCCCCGTTCTGCACCAGGCCAAGATATGACTCCTCAGACAAAGTTGGACACGAAGCAGGAGTTTCTGCAGAAAGAAAACAGTCTTCACTTAAAATTCCACAGAGGAGACACTGTATCCTGAAAAATGCCCGAGTCAACGGCTGATTTCTGAGGAAAGTGTAGCGTGCAGGCATCAAAGCCTTGCTGAAAGAAGAAAAGCCTCTCTCCTGATGTTAAGAGAGGTTAATGCGGCCGCCGGAGGACAGTTGCTGATCATCAAGTGGACCAACTATTTGACGCAGGCCCGCTGTTGAGGCAGCAGTGGGCCTGTGCATCTGTCATATGCATTGACAAAACACATTTGGACTGAAATGGAGTTGGACCAGTTACCTTTGTTAAAAGGTAACTGGCTTCAACACTTACACTATTTGGATTACTACTATGTTCCAGACAAAATAAATATCATTTAAGGAAAAAAATAAATGCACAAGCAGAAAGCTAAACCTTTATAGGTGAGGTCAGATTTTGACCAATTCATGCCAAATCTAGTCATTTGTTGCCTTTTCAACAATAACAACACAGATTCTGCTTAGCTATTAGCATTAGCCCTGACCAATCAGCAGTCCAAAGCCATATGTTTTCTTTAGTACTTATACTTCCAAAATTGTTGGTAGAAGTAGCACCACTGTGCACAAAGATCTCACTTTGTGTTATTTGTTTAGGTGGAAGCTAGGATTAGCATTGAAGCTAGTTGTTCCCGAAAGTCAGAAACAAATCATTTTAAAACATCCCAACGTTTCAAAAATGAGACAAATATTTTTTATAATCTTTTATTTTTTTCCCCTGTGAGTACCATCAGACAGATAATGACTATACAAAACTATTTGGTGTCACTAAAAATCCCCATATCGGCCACCATGTTGGAAGTGCGTCACAACTTGCGAGTGCTTCACAAATTTTGTGAGCCAGAGCCACACTAGGATGTCTAAACTCATCTTGGCACAAACTAATTGAGGAAGTTGGAACCGTTCAGCCTTGAGAACTGCCTAGACGGCTTAAATTCAACAAGGTCAACAAGAGATTTTGGTCCACGTCAACAAGATAGCGACACAGAGTTTCTGCAGATTTGTCAAGGAGTCAAAAGTCCTGATCCAGTTCGTCCCAGAGGTGATTTAATGGCTTGAAATCTGGTGACATCTGAGCTACTGGAAAACTGAAAAATCATCCCCATGTTCAAGAAATTAGTTTGAGATAATTTGAACTTTGTGGCATGGTGCATTTCCCTGCAGGAAGCATCCCTCAGAGGATATTTAACTGGTCATAACGAGACGAAGACGTCAGTAACAACACTGACTTTTAAGCAATGCTACATTGCAACTAGCGGAAAAAAGTAGGAAACTACGGCAACACTTATTACAGCACGACATAGGTCAGGACAGATCCATGCTTTCATGTTGTTCACATCAGATTCTGACCCAATCAACTAAAAAGACTAATTGGACCAGGAAAACGTTTTTGATCTATAAACTGTAGCTTCAGTTTTCTGATCTTAGCAGACAGAGGGAACCTGGTGCGGCTTAAACCCTTCATATCATTCAGTCTGTCCATTCTCCTATATCAAAGCATTTTGTTCACACAATTGCCGCTTTGTGGATCTTTTCTCTTTTTTTCCAAACATTTCTCTGTAAACCCAAGGGACGTTTTTGTGTGAAAATCCCTTTCGATCAGCGGTTTCCGAAATACTCAGACCAGTCCGTATGGTATCAACAGCCATGCCCATATTTAAAGCCCGCTAAATCTCCATTATTTCCCATTCTGATGCTTGTTTGGAACATCAGCAAGCCGCCTTCACCACATCTAAGCCTAAATGTGACTTGCTGCCATGTGATTGGCTGATTTGGATCGGGGCCTCTTTGGAAAACTTGAGCTTCTGAGGTGTGTCCGTCTTTCGAAGTCCACCAAACTTTGATGAATCGCAAGACAAGCTGACACAGGCTCAGGATGTTTACTTAATAATAATGCATCATATTGAAATTCCTTCTCTTTTTACCATTTATCCCTAATTAAACTTTAAGTCATTACTGTGGAGGATAAATCATGAGAAGGAATGTAATTAACATTTTAGTAGTATCAAATAATCTAGGGCGCACAGTGTTTGTTCATTTGTGTTACCCATGACTCCTCCTGCTCCCATTCGGCTTGACTCCATTAAATATCAAAGTTAACAGTCGTGGCAGGATAATGCAAGTCAAATTCTTCTTTAATTAATTCATAAACAGGGGTACATTTTTCAAATGCACCTGTATGGGGAGGTTTATTAAACATGCATCCCATGGCAGAGCCATGAATGGATACCACAGTATACGAGGACTAAAGTTTGTATTATACAGAAATTATGCACTGTGTAGTTTATGCATAATGTTTTGTGTTGCACTTGCGCGGCGCTTTGATCCCAGCACACAAAAATTAAACTGCCTCATCTGCCACAGTGGCTGCACATCCACTGAGAGACTAATGAAAATGCAAGGCATGAGTAACAAGAGGAAAACTTCATTTAAAAGACCAGATAGAAAATATCTTGTGAATGTCACTCAGGCGGCAGCCTGTAATTGGTTTGGTTGGCATGTTCTGGGTGAGAACGACCCGCAGAGCACGGCGGAAACCCCACCCCCACTCAACACCCACACACCCACCCAAACTCACAACCTGTCCCTGTCCTGAAATGTCCACAGCACGACTGAAGGGTTCCAGCAGGTTCTTCACATGCAAATCCTGAACCGTTCCCGACTCAACTCAACGAAGTTCTCAGGGAAATGGGGGGGAAAGAAGGAAAAAAGAGAGAAAGGAAATAGAGAAAGACTGAAGCAAGGGAGAGAAGATAGTATAAAATGGAAGGCTAAAGGAAACAGGAACAAAAGAAAAAAAGAAGAAATAACAATAGAAAGGAAAGAAAGGGTAGAAAGAAACACCAAAAAGACAAAGAAAGACTAAAGGAATAGCAAGAATTAAAGAAAAAAAAACAAAACAGATAATAAAGAACAAAAAGAAGAAGGAAGCAAGACAGTCAGGTTGGAAGGGTAAGAACAAAAATGACCACATAGAAAGACAATAAGGAAGAACGGGTGAAGGACAGGGCAGGGAAACTGCAGAAGAAAGGATGCAATGAAGCAAAGGACAGACAGGAAAATATAAAGGACTAAAAAAGAAAGATGGAAAGAAAGTAGGAAGCAAAGAATAAAAGGAAAGGGGAGAGTTGAAGGACAAAATGATGAAGATATAAAACAAGGAAGAAAAACAGAAAGAAACAAAGGAAAGAGAGCACAACAAAAAAGACAAGAGAGAAAAATGTAAAAATAAGAGGAAAGAAAGAAGCGGGAAAGAAAAAAACATCGCAAGACAAATGTATGTAGTTGATTAGAGAATGAAGAACGGAAACATATTTTTCTATTTTCTTTGTCATACTTATCCAGACCTAGAAAACACATAAAGTCAGAACTAATCCAGCCTGGCGTCTGAACCCTGACAATCGGTGCATTGAGGAAGCTCCATTACTTCCACTTCAGCTATTCCTCCAAACTGCAGCTCCCCATTAATCAAAGAATGTGGCCTATTTTCCTCTATTTATTAAATTGTCAAAGCGAAATAAACAATAAATCATCATGGGGGGGCATAACCTTGGGCACCGATGACTCAGTCAAGAGGGCCTATTCTGAGGAAGAATCCGACGCATTAGTCAGGGCTTCCTGTAAAGAAATGCACTGTCCTCCCCCACATTTCTGACCGACCTCAAACTGGAGGACATGTCAATATATCTTGCAGGGAGGTCAGGTTTCACGCAAGACGATCGCGGACTGCTTAACTACAGCACAGATGCCACAAATGGCGGCTTAATCAGGTTGGACAATGTGTTGTTGTGATCTGAGCGTCCCCAGTTCAGCGGCCAGAGTCACTCTATCCCTCTAATTATTGTTCCGTTTCATCCAAACAACTGGAGGCAGGGATGTAGTCCCCGGTGTCACCCAGTGACTGATGGGTAGTGTCAGGGCGAGTGGAAGGAAGAAGTGGAAAGAGATTGGAGGGGAGGAGGGCGAACGGGCGCAACCTGCCTAACAGGAGCGTCGGCGTAACCCGGCAGCTTTCCACTTTTCAGCCGTCTCTTCTTTCCCTCCATCAGAACCAGAGGAAGCGCTGGAGTCGCTTCCCTGCGACTGAGAGGAAAAGCAATCTCCTCGCGTAGTTGCTGCCATAAGATTTGA